TACAGCACTTCATAAAAGCAAGTCAGAGAGATTAAAATCAAATCCATGAATAAAATGTCAGATTTACTTGCTTCTATGAGAAATAAAAGCTGACAAATTACACCACAGAGATCAAAACTAAGTGGTTATTTGTTGAAAATAAAGAGACAGATATGACAACAAAATTTACTGATACGCTTACACAGCATACTTTAAAAAGTGAGCTTCTCTGTTCATTGGACTCCATTATTTACTCCTTGAAAGAGATGAATCCTTCCCTCCCACTGCTCCTTCTATGAGTTAAAACAGCAATATGACTTACTAGAGTTTTAATGCAAAAGACATTTAAGAAAAAAATAATGATTTTGGAAGATGCGTGTGGTAGCTCATGCTGAGATCCCAGCATTCTGGAGACTGAGACAAAAAGGCTGTCAACTCCAGGCCACTGTGAACTACAAGGTGAATCCTGACTCTAAAAATGTTTATTTTTGTTATTATTATGTTTTTTTTTTCATTTAGGCCACAGGTTCTCAATCTGTGAGTATGGACCCCTTCGGAGGTAGAAGACCCTTTCACAGGAGTGGCTTTTCAGATATCCCCAAAATCAAATATTTAAATTACAATTCTTAACAGCAGCAAAATTATAGTTATGAAGTAGCAACAAAATAATGTTCTGGTTGGGGTCACCACAACATAAGGAACTGTACTAAAGCATCGGGAAGGTTGAGAAGCACTGTCTTAAGGTGTTTTATTGTTGTCCTCTGAGGGTCTTTTTTCCCTTTTGTTTTATCCTGGTTTATTTTCTAGACAGAGTCTTGCTATCTAAGCCCAGGCTGGCCTAGAACTCACATTACTCATATCTTAACCTTCTAAATTACGAGGATTAAAGGCAAGGGAGCTGTCTAGAAAATAAAAAATGAATAAAAATACTTTTTTAAAGGCATGATGACACACTCCGTTAATCCCAGCACTCAGAGGCAGAGGGGCAGAGGGGCAGAGGGGCAGAGGGGCAGAGGGGCAGAGGGGCAGAGGGGCAGAGGGGCAGAGAGAGGCAGAGAGAGGCAGAGAGAGGCAGAGAGAGGCAGAGAGGCAGAGAGGCAGAGGCAGAGGCAGAGGCAGAGACAGAGACAGAGGCAGGCAGATCTTTGTGAGTTAGAGGTCAGCCTGGTCTACAGAGCAAGTTCCAGGCCAGCCAGGGCTCACACAGAGAGACTGTCTTTAAACAACAACAAATCAGAGTGGCTACAATGAAACTGTCAGGTTATCACTACCAAGATCACTTGGGCTGTACACCCTCCCTGTTTGAAGTGCCTTCACCCTTCACAGCCTCCCAGAAATCACTTATGAGTATTCCCCTAATGAAAAATTGAACTTTTCATAAGCAGAAGTGCACAGAGAACTCATTTTGATATGTATGACTCAATCTACTCCGTACTGGCAATATCTTCCAGCTTGCACTGTCCCTACAGGGGCTTTGGATCGGGTTTCCCCATCTGATCTTAGCAGAATCACTATAGATTTAAAAGGACTCACTAAAAGGGCCATTAGGAAAATTATTACGAATACAATCCACGGCACAGTCAAATGTGGGCTGTGAATTGGAATAAGGAAAAAAATTAGTATTTCCTCCGCAGTTCCCATTAGAGTTCTGTATTTTCATTTAAAACTTAAAAATAATTTTAAAAAAATACCTAGGGTTCCCCTTCGTTATTCAGACTTCCCTATTTTATTAAGATATATAATCAATATGTCTCACACACTCACACAAATACACATACACCCTAATGAAAATATTTTTGAAAGGAATATCTTCCAAAGTTCACTGCACACACACACACACACACACACACGCACGCATTCCTATTATCATCTCTCCTACTCTCCAAAAAAAAAGGAATAGTAAATCTAACCACAGTGAAGCCTTAACAGAACTTTTAACACAGCTATCACCAGCTAAGTAATCTATCACAGCTCCTCTAAGTCTCAGGCACACACAATGACACACCAATGTGTCAAAACACTTATTATAATTTGAAAAATTATACAACAGAAACATAAGAATGGAAAACAAGCCCTCTGGAAAATCTCAAGTAGCTTTTAGAGAGGGTGAAAAAATGGAGACCAGTTTCAAGAAAAATACCATTTCCCATTAAGTGTTCAGTGTCTGTGTGATACTGGCTCATTTTTCTAAAGAGTAACTTTACCTAACAAGACTCACACCAGGAATCTCATCTATCCCCAAAGGCACTTTCCTTCCTTTCTTCCTTTCTTTTTTCTTTTTGTTTGTTTATTTATTTTATCAAGACATGATCTTATTAAGTAGCTCTGCCTATCCTGGAATTCACTCGCCAGACCAGTTGACCCTTAAAAAAGAGATTCACCTGCCTATGTCTCCCAAGTGCTGGGATTAAACGTATGGGCCACTATGCCTGGTCCCAAAGGAACTTTCTTAGAACAGAAAGAACATAGGTACTTTATTCTTTGCATGTACTTTTCCCACAAGGGTTTCAAGCCTTACTACCTGGTCCATGCATAAAAAACCTGGCCAACTATTTTTCAAATGGACTCCTAAAAAATAAATATTAGGAGGCAAAGATGGCATCGACAACCTGGAAGAGTATTGGAATGGCACATGCCTTTAATCTCAGCACTTGCGAAGCAAGAGGCAGGCAGATCTCTTGAGTTCTGAGTTTGAGGCCAGCCTGTTCTATAGAGTGAGTTCCAGGACAGCCAGGGCTATAGAGAGAAACCCTGCCTCAAAACAAAACCAAAACCAAAAAAGATGAGGTGGGCGGTGGTGGCACACGCCTTTAATCCCGGCACTTAGGAGGCAGAGGCAGGTGGTTTTCTGAGTTCCAGCCTGGTCTACAGGGTAAGCTCCAGGACAGCCAGGGCTACACAGAGAAACCCTGTCTCAAAAAACAACAAAACAAAACAAACAAAAAAGATGACAGTAACATAATGACAATTAGAAAAATAATTACAAAAAACACACATACTTGAGCTCTGGTGTTTTGTTTGTTTTTATGCAAGTTGGTTATCTCAAAAAAGGCAAATTTCTGAGGCTTTCTCAGTGAAATCAATAGTCTGAAACTGGGATAAAAGAAATTACCCAAGTCGGGTATGGTGGTAGATGCCTTTAATCCCAGCACTAACGAGGCAGAGGCTGGAGGATCTCTGAAGCTGAAAGTCTGTATGGTCTACACAGTAAGCTCCAGGCCAACCTCAGCAACATAGTGAACCCTTGTCTTAAAAGTGTGTGTGGGGGGGTGGCGGGGGGAGAATGGGACTATCCATTATCATTTTCTATCTTAAACAAGTTAGTAATTAGAAGTAAACTTAAAAGAACAAATACTCAAATCTTGTACAAAAATCTTCATATGTTAATACTCCAAAGTTACTAGGGAAAAAAGATCTTCCAGTGAGGTTTTTACACATACACACATACATACACACATACCTACACGCACACGCACACAAAGAAAAGTGTCCAGAAACAAAAGTAGTGGTCTGCTTGTTCTAGAAGCTATTTCATCATAATAGAGGGAAAAAAATAATTTTTATTCATTATAAAAAGAATTCTCAATCTCCCTGAAGATTTACAACTGCATAGCCCACTCTCCACTCTGACAGAGATGTTAGTTCTCTGCTGTGCTATAACCAGCTGTTTGGTTCGCACACAGGAAGCCAGAGAAGAGAATACCGCGTTCAGAGCCTCTAAATAATATGCGTTAGTTAAGAACTGCCTGCCTGCTACTAAACCAGAATTATTCAAGCAGAGCCCCATTTGTCACAATCCAATCATAAGGGTTCCACCAGCCCTCCCCCGACGGCTTGTGTAGTGGTATATGTGCTTTAGTAAAGGAGCCATCATCAGGTAAAGATTGGGGTGGGAGAAAAAGCAGGGAAAAGGGGGCACCTTTTCATCTAATTTCGCGAGGCATGAGTAATTGGTACAGTTGAGAGGGAACGATGGAACGTTCTATTTATTGGAGGTTGGGGTGGGTTGGGGGTGGGTGGGAGGAAATTTTCGTTTAAATCAACATGGCCAGCAAGATGTCCCTAACAAACAAAAGGCAACGGGGGATATAAACACGAACCATTCACCTCCGTCAGCTATAGCATCGCCATCATGGTGTGTGTAGAGACCCCCAAGGCTGCTCTCATCGGCCACACCAGAGACAGCAAGAGTCTAGAGAGGTGGCTGCATCCCCACCACCGCTCCCAAACGCACACTCTTTCCAATGGCTTGCTTTCCCCCCACCCACCCACCCACCCAGCCCGGTGGCCCAGAATCAAGAGAGAAACAGTAACGTCCCGCCCGGGCAGACTCCCCCTGCAACCCTTAAGCCGGACCCCCAACGCCGGCTTCAGGCTCGCTAAACTTTCCAAGAGCTTCTCCCTCGGATTCCCTAGCCGATCGCCCCAGGATCGCGCATTCCCACTGGCCGGGCACCCACTGACAGGCCGGCAGCGGCGGCAAGCGGGGCGGGGGCGCCTGGGCGCCGCGGAGGGGCGGGGCGGCCGGAGCCAAGTTCCCGGGGGTCCGAGCGCAGCGCCTGACAGGAGCCCGGGACGGTGAAAGAGGAAGAGGAAGCGGCAGCGGGGCAGTTTTCCCAATCCCCCTCTTCTAAGCGCAACCTACACCCCCCCAACCCCCTGGCTGCCGGTGGAGGGGGGGCAGGGAGGCGGGCTGCAAGGTAAGGCACCCAGGCCCCGGGGACCGCCGCTTGCCGCCACGTCCCGACTCACTCTCTCTTCGCCCCGCCACCCCCGCCAGAGGCGCCCACAACAATAACACGCCGGGGACGACCCGTCAGCGCCCCCGAGGCACCCGGGGCCCACGGCCCGCCGCAGCCAGGCCCCCTCAACTGAAGCCCGGAGCGCCTCTCCCGCCTACAACTCCAGACCCGGGTAGAGCCCGGCCCGAGCGGCCCCCCAGGGTCCGACCCATCCCCCCCGGCACCAGCGGCGCCGTCTCCGCGGCCGAATATTAGAAGTGAATTCGAGCTGCGCTTTACCTTTAGTTCCGCACTGTCCGCCATCTTGCGTCTGTCAGCGCAAGCGCAGTGAAGCTCGCCGGGGGCCGCGCTGGACCCTCCCCTCTAGCGGACTTGGCCCCGCCTCCGCCCCGCCTCTCAGCCGTCCCGTTCCGCCCCCGGCCTCCGCCCCGCTCCCGGAGCTTGCTGCCCCGCCCCGGGCACGCACAGCTGCGAGACCCACACGTACTATTTAAATAATGGCGCCAAGCGGGAGTTTGACAGTTACTACCCCCTCGGCCACCCCGCCCCCACACCGGCCAGGCCGGGAGCGCCCGGGGAAGAGGCCACATCTGGGGAGGTGTTGGCCTCAGTTTCGTCCTTCGGCTGCCCTCTGAGCCCCTGTTGACAGAAGCCACACCGCTCCCCAATCCGCAAGACGCGTTCTGCACCTGTACCCTACCCGGCTGCGGGTGGATCACAATTAGAAAGTTTCGTTTAAGGAGAATTTGACGAAGAGTTTCTGGGTTTACGATGAGGCAGTAAGGCATATATAAATGTATATATGTATATATGTATATAGTATATATTATATATTATATATTATATATACATATATAATTATATAATATGCATTCTATTATATATATGTATTATACATATTATATATTATATATATAATATATATTCTGTTATACATATACATATACATATACATATATATATATATATATATATATATATATATATATTCATTTCCCATGGTATCTTTTCCGAGATAAAAGCTCTGAGGGGAAAAGGAACTCTCCTAAATAGCATTTAACAGGGCTAAGGCAAATTCTGAACACATCCATTCATCACGTCACCCTCTGAAGTCAGAAATTAGGAAAGATCCCTGACCTGTCGCTCATGGGGCACAGGTCTTCGAACCAGTAAAGATATAGTTACTACTGGTGATGAGCAACATTGAAATCAAGAGGCTCACTAAGAGAAAAATGGATTAGGGGGAAATGTGCTTAATCCCAGAGGGTTTTCTTCAACTACATTGATGTTTAGACTTGAAGAAAGATTATTTCATACCTTCTCCTATCTACTAAAAGCTTCCTTCCTTCAAAACCCCGGCCTTTTTTAACTGACCAGCTTTTTACTATCAAAATCCTCTTAACATTTGGATTACTCTGAAGGGCCTCCGAATTCAAGAAGGCCCAGTCCTGACCAGTGACGTAGATTATTTTCACTCCCACATCCCTAATTTTTTTACTCCAGTATCTTTCTAGTTCTCAACCCCCTTTCTTCACTGAACCGTTTTCATCAGCATATAAACAGACCAAAATTCCTCTTACATAAAATTAAACTTCCTCTGGATTCAAAATTGCCTTCAGCGGGTTCTCCTATTTCTCTGCTTTCTTCACTGAATAAATTCACAAACATGACTTCGTTCTTTTCTACAAGTGCTTGTTCCCAGCTCTTCAGTGGCATTACCTCTCCACCTATCCCGAGGCAGCTACACTGTCCTATCTCAGGCTTTCATCAAGAGGACGGCTCATTTACATCTTCGCGAAGCCCTCAGTTCTCAGGGCTTACCTAAGTTGGCTGCAGGGAGCTACTAACAGTTGACGTGCTTGCTTTCTCTGGTAACACAGTTCTTGAACTTTCCTCTACATCACTGTCACTGTCCCAACATTCCATTCCAGTCTCTTCACTGGGTGGCTCCGCCTCCCCCACCCCTCTCTCTTTTTCTCTCTCTCCCTCCTTCCCTCCCTCCACCCTTTTTTCCTCTCCTGGATCTCACTCTGTAGACCAGGCTGGCCTCGAACTCAGAAATCCGCCTGCCTCTGCCTCCCAAGTGCTGGGATTAAAGGCGTACGCCACCACCGCCCAGTAAGATTGGAGTTCTAAGACTCAGCCTGTGATCATTATTCAACCACCCAGAGCTATCATTTAACTCTTGACTTTTGCTCTATAATACAATTTTCAAACATCTGCAGTTTAGACTACATCACAAGTTCAAATCCAGGTAATGATTCAGCTCTGCTCATAGATTGTTTGTCTAACTGCCTAACATACAAGAGGCCCTGTGTTTGATCTCTGATACTCTGTGAAAGTGGAAATGGTGGTACGAGCCCAGAGTCCCAGTAGTTGGGAGGTAAAAGATCAGGAGTTCCAGTTCCAGGCAAGCCTGGGCTACATGAGATCCTATCCCAAAAAGAATTTATTTATTTATTTATTTATTTATTTATTTATTTATTTAGCTTTAGAGAGACTGTGTGGGGTGGTACAGGCCTTTCATTCCAGTATCCCAGGCAGATTTCTCTTGTGAAATTGAGTCCAGCCTGGTCTACATAGTAAGATCTAGGGCTACAAGTGAGGCCCTGTCTTCAAATTTAATTAATTAACTAATTAATTAAGAGGAGGCTGCTCCCTAAGGTTGCTAGCTGGCTACCTAGTATCGTCTTCTCAGCTCATCCTTGACCACCCAGTCTTCTTGCTCCTTTCCCAATAGTCTCACTATTATCCAGTATATATGTATCCACTATTTTCAAAATGGAAGTCAGGGAAGCATTCTTACTCCTCTCTCTTCATTTATTTCCAGCGTCCAGAGCGCCCATGAGTCCAGCTGAGTCCAGCTATTAAAATATATCCAAGGCACCCTATTCTGTTTATTCCTCACAACCATCACTCTCTTCCAGACTACCGGGAGGACTGCCTGACTGACAGAGTCCAGACTGACTCTGGCTTTCCTGACCCCCAGGCACTTCTGTCTGGAGCCCTATATTTGGAACTGGCCTGGATAGCAAAGGCCTGTAATCCTAGAACTTGGACTACACTCACTAAGCTTTCTGTCAACAGTCAAGTGTGCAATACAAAGACATGATCCCAACACTTTGGGGTGGGGCAGTGCCAAGCAAGAAGAGTTTCAATAGTTCAAGGCCAGCCTGGGCTACATAGTGAGTTCTAGGACAACTTGAGCTATATAGCCAGAATGTGTCTATAAACGAGCAGACAGACAGGTGCGGTGGCCCAGAGCTAATGTCCTAGCACTGGGGAGGTGGAGGCAAGTGGATCAGGAGTTCAAAGGCACCCTGGGCCACACAAGTTTGTGGCCAGCTTGCCCTGCAAGAGGCCTCAATTCAAAAATAAACATTCAAAGCATAATTCAGCCTTTGCTCCTACTTCCAGACACAGAACACCTAAAGCTCCCAGCAATTTCCTAACAGTTATGTCTTTTTGTTATCCCTATTGAGTCCTTCAGCATTTCAGCTGAGTAGGTTGATCAGGGGGTTCAGGCTGAGCCCCCCTCAATAGCTCAATAGAGGGTCCATAAAGATGCTTTATTTTTTTCAAGTCTTTTGAAAATTTGTGTTTGAGTGTGTATGTATGTGAGTGTATGTGTGTGTATACGTGGACATGTGTGTGTGTATTGGAAACTTGTTAAGGTACAAATTGGTTCTCATTTTCCACCATGTGTGTCCCAAGATTGAACATAGGTTGTTGGCATGGCAGCAGGAGCCATTATCAGCTGAAGCATACAAGGGGCCCCAGAGAAGTCCTCAGAGGGTAGATGCTTTACCTGCACCCACCTCTGGGGGAAAAGGGGATCCTAAGTGAGAATAAATGGGTCATAAGAATGCAACTCTTTGCCGGGCAGTGGTGGTGCACGCCTTTAATCCCAGCACTTGGGAGGCAGAGGCAGGCGGATCTCTGAGTTCGAAGCCAGCCTGGTCTACAGAGTGAGTTCCAGGACAGCCAGGGCTACACAGAGAAACCCTGTCTCAAAAAACAACAAAACAAAACAAAACAAACAAACAAAAAACCTGATTAATCCAACTCCTCCCCACAGAAACAAAATCTTCTTCCTGTTTTGGGGGGTGAGGGGGTAGATGAGAAGTTAACCCCCCACACACACAGACACACTAAGGGACTTGCTCTACCATTGTGCTCAATAGTAAAGCCTCCCTGCTGGCTCCACACTCTGCTGAGCTACAGGGGCACAGGGGCAGAGACCTGGCAAACACAGCGTCCTGCCCCATAGCCTGCTTAGTGGTTTCTGAGATCCAGCCCACATCTCTCACAAGACTCTAGATCACCTTCCAAGTCCTTTTCCAGCTTCCCTATATCAGTCATTTTTCTCGATGCTGTAGCAAACTATCTGAGAAAAGCAACTTTATAGAAACAAGAGTTACTCTGGGTCCCAGTTCGAGAGTATGGTCCACACTGGTCCATCCTGGTTAGAAAGTCAATACAGCAAAGGCCATTCCAGATGTGACAGATGGAACACGAGACACCTGGTGACATGTATCAAAGTCAGGACGCAGACATTAGTGACTCTTGGCTCACTCTCTGTCTCTCTCTGTCTCTCTAAGGTCTTACCACATAACCCTAACTGGCCTGGAACTCAAAGATCCATCTACCTCTACCTTTCAAATGCTGGAATAAAAGGCACACTCCTTCACTTCTGACCACAAATTCTCATTTGAAACTCACGGCAACCTCCTCACTGTAATATCCTGCAGAATAAAAAAGCAAGTCATCCACTGTGGAAGAAGGAGCAGAAAGAGTAAGATCCCAAGCCAGTAGTAGAGTGCTACGGAACGTTACCTTCCGAGCAGGACAGGGCTGATGCATTCTTGACCTCTTAGCAGCTATACTTACCTATAAGAAGACCTACACAAGACTGGGCCCAGTAACATTCCATTAAGGGTGAGGTAGGCGGGGCCTTGTGAGCTAAGGTCTATGGGTAGTTAACAGCTCCTTGGAGAAGGAAAGATACTTTCTTCAGGGGTGTAGCCGCAGGAAATTGTCCATGTTACTGTATGTAAGTAATGGCTCGGCAGCGTTCCTGTAAAGGACTAATTTCATTGATGCACTGTGAAAAAAAATTTTTTTTTTTGTAAAAGACATGGAAGTGGAAACAGAACTAGCTTAGAGGAAGGAGGAGATTGGCAAGAGTACAAGGGAGATGGGGGGGTAATGTGGAGGGGGTATGAATACAATCAAAATATATACATGTATGAAACTTATTATCACATATAATATTTGCTAATAAAAAAACTTTTAAAAATAAGCTATATACTCCAGAACAGAATAGCACG